AGATGATACTAGAGCTCAAAAGCCTATTAGTAGGACAATACGAGACCAATGACCACAGATGAGACCCACATCTGATGGTAATATTGCTGTTATTGGATCATGGTTGCAATGCTATATTATCATGGTTGTTTCATACAATTTGTAAAGACTCTAATCTTAAATATGAACCTATCAAACATGGATTCATGCACCATTCTCAAGTCAAAAGTCGTCCATGACAAATTGTGAGTAATAAATCATAAGCAATTGAGTAAGTGATTTTGAGTAGTAACATTCAAGCATAAGCGTGAATATGCTATAAATATGTATTCATATCTAATAATAAAAATGAAAAACATTTATTCATGACTTACAACTGATGAGTCAATATTGGTACATGAATCCACCTTAAGTCATTGGTAGGCCTTAAAATTACCTTTTTCTGTTTCACTATTCATATCTGTTTCTGTCTCCATAGATTCTGGTGCAGCAGTATGATCAAAAGGGACAACAATTTCTTCATCTTTGGTGTCTCCGTCTTTTCTACTTTTCTTGTTATTGCTTCTTCCCTCATCTGTAGGGCCTTGTAAATTTTCATCTGAGAATTCACAACAAATAAGCAGTAGGCTTATTATAACACACAATTTAAAGGACATTCTAAACATTGTAATGAACTTTATTATAATTACTCAAATTTCAAGCTCATTTATTAGAAATCAGTGTACTATTTGGAAAGAAAAAAGCTTTCGTATATCTCATACTTTCATCCTATCAAAACAAAAATCTATGACAATCAGCAATCTCTCTTAACCACGTCAATCGGCAAATTTTCAAAATGTCAATGCCAAAAACATATGTTTATTGACACTGAACTTAACGACTTAACCACAGTAGAATAACTTAACCATTTCTTGATTCCCTGCCTCGAGTTACATCGTGACAGTTACAACCTGCTCCCGTGTTAGTTAGGCAGGGACAAATTCTTGATAGCTGTGTGGTTATATGTTAATCTATTTTCATCAATTTTTCGTAATGAAAAAATTAAATATCAAATAGAACCTATACCTCTTGCAGAAAGGTCGCCTAATCATTTCTCATGTTACTTTTTTAGACTTGCTTACAAACAATCTACAATTATCTGTTTCTGTCTGTTTAAAATGTGTTTTTCCGTTAACCAGCTGTCGCACCAAAGCTCAAATACATACCAAAAAGTGCATATCACAACTGATTAGAGGATTAAAAATAAAGCTGTATTATATCTGATGGTAATTACTTCGAAGGGGACAAAATAGAAATTGATGAATACATAAATATTTTATGAGAAAAAGGAAAATTCACCCATTAAATTTTGAACAGACAGCATAGATTGTCTGATATACGTCTAGAATTGTAACGGTTCTGGATTAAAATATTCAGAAATAACAGTTTGATTTTTATCATGAGGAAAACTATCCTCAACTTTAGAGAGTAAATTATACGAAATATTTCTTATCTCTGCAGGCAATATCTTGTTTATGTTTGCATGTAGTGTATAGGCTAGGCCAGGTTGCAGGTTGAATTCTGTCTGAATTGGCTGGGATTGGCTGAGTTACATGTTATTTTATTCAAACATTCTATATTCTGAATAAATCAAATGAATATAATTGAGTGCTGTATACTGTGTCGAGTCGAAACTGAAAAATATACGTGAGAAGCGTTTGCAGTGTAAAAAANACACTTTTATATTAACGTACAGCCGAAGCTACTGAACCTAGAATCTTGAAAGATGCAGGTAGGTTCTTTGTATAGCGTAAATAAGCATCAAGAAAGGGAATTAGGAATTTCCACCCCAAAGGGGAAAAAGGGGTTTAAAGATTGTATTAAATTTCGTCGGTTTTGAAGTTGGAAACCTAAAGTTTTGGGTTAATAAAAAAAATATTGTAACATTTGTTTAAAATGGTCTGTCACGAAACTTAAGGTTACAAACCAAATTCTACCAGGGTGAAGCGCGGGTAACAACTAGTTATTTAACTGCAATGATAATTAACAGCAGCAAACTATATTCGCGTGAAAATGTGCCATTCTGGTATTAACGCTATCCTAGAACGTTGAGTGCGATGGTTACGCGTTCCGTTGGAAAAAAATTGTAACAGGTTATGTTAAAAACAGTGATATTTGACAGCATTTGATCCGCACATAAAGAGCAGCATTTCGCGCTGATCAGCTCGCACACCAGCTGAATTATTTTCAAACCTGATAGGTGACGTATCAAAACTGACGTGTAATCTTCCCTCGTTTGATCTGATATGACATCTGACAGTTTTAAGACGTTATTTCTGGTACATCTAAGCTCTAAACCGATAATACCTACCTAAAGTGTCAGTTGGTAATTTTTCAAAATGTAACAAAAGTAAAAGAAGTAAAATGGTAACTTCCAACTGTCCAGAGGCGAAACGAGTTTTCAAATTCTCCGATTGATATATGATGGATTCATCTATTTGTAAATTCGTTGGTCAACAGAAAAACCAATTTTAATCCATAAACTATCAATTGGAATAATTGACAGACAGTAGTGCATGACAAGCATATGACATCACTGCATGACCACCTTATATTTTATGTTGTCTTAAAAAACGGTAGACACTGTTTAACTTTTAACAGCAGCATTATGTAGATGTTGAATGAGAGTTTCAAAATAAATTATCGTATTATGCCTGCGGGAACTTGTAAACTCCATTTTCCAAGTATTGTTTAAAAGGTTCATAACTGGTGTCGAATCATGATCATGACATCGAAACCAAAGCCCAATTGTCCTAATGGAGGAGCCCAGGAGAGCCAAGACCAAAAAAGCACGCCAAGTTCGATCAAATTTTAAGATTTTGCTCACTGTTTTCTTCGATTAACTTGGCGTAGTGCATCAAGAGTTTCTGCGACATGGCAAGTTATGCGCCGCTTGCGAGAAGCAATATGAAGAAATCGTCTTGTATTGTGGAAAAACAATTCATGGCTTTTGCATCACGATAATGCACCTGCTCACTCTTCATTGCTTGTTCGTAATTTTTTAGCCAGAAACAACACCATAATCATGTCTCAGACACCGTATTTACCAGATTTGGCTCCCTGCAACTTTTTCCTATTCCCAAGATTGAAGAGACCCATGAAAGGACGATGTTTTGCAACGATTTAGGATATAAAAACCGAATCACTGAAAGCTCAAATACATACCAAAAAGTGCATATCAGAATTGCTTCGAGGATTGGAGAAAACGCTGGCACAAGTGTAATATATCTGAGGGAAACTACTTTGAAGAAGACAAAATAGAAATTGATGGATAAATAAACAGTTTTTGAGAAAAAAGAAAGGCGTAGTTTTTCCATGCATATGTTTCAGTATACATGTCAAACATTTCTAGTGACGAATAAATTATTCTGTTCTATGTGAATCATAAACTTTTTATAAATTTTATGTATAGGGATAATTTTTCCTCTAACTTCTACTAGCAGTATGTAGCCTTTCTCATTGAACATACAAAATCGATTCATCTTTATAAGTTTCTCTACAAGCCCTCAAAATGTTGTTGAATAATGATATCATCGAAAGGAACAATTTGTTCAGGCCAGTCTCAACTCCTTACACTGTAGGTTAATGGACTGACACTTATCAGAAAACAACTACTTCCCTGGCTAATACCACGAAGGGCATTGGATTATATCCGACAGGTGTCAGTGCAGGATTCTTCACTGAAGTTATTTCTACAAACCTGTCTGCAAGTGTGTTACAATAATTGAAAATCTATTACGGCAGTTGTATCGCCAACAGCATATGCATATTCATATGTGATGAATAATGATAATCAAAGGCCATGGAGATGAAATGATTCAACTTTTTTTTTCTTCAACAAGTTGAAATTGATACAGATATATATACAGGGTGTAACTAAATAAGTGTAAAACATTTAAGGAGGTGATTCCTCATCGGTTCTTAATTTGTTACTTTAATAATTCACTTGTTATTGAAATGGCATACACAAATGAGGAAATGGCTGATATGCATTACATTTACAGTCTGTTTGAAGGTGATTGACAATGTTTCATGATGAATTTCACTAGTTCGGATTTCCATTGTCTACTATATAAAATGATTTAAAATCCCTGAACACAGGAAGATCAACTAATTAGTTTCGACCTGGAAAGCCTTTACACCAACGTTCCGGTCGAAGAAGCACTCCAAATCATACAAAAAAAGCTATCCGAAGACGGGAACCTGAAAGAGAGAACGAATCTACCTATAGAAGTAATCATGGAATTACTAGGATGCTGTGTACGAAACTGTTATTTCCAACTGAAGGACGAATTCTTTACACAAGATGAGGGACTGCCAATGGGATCGCCACTTTCACCAGTCATAGCCAACATATATATGGAGTGGTTTGAAACTCTGGCCATTGAAGAAGCCCACAAGAAACCTNCATAACATCGATGCTATAAAATTTGTATTAGTATGAAAGTTTAATTTATAAAATGATCCCAGCATATCCAGTAGCATTTTCTTGTATTTGTATTATATCACATATAAGGATTCTTTCCTTCTGTGAATTTCATATTTATTCGTCAACTCATCTTGACTGACTGAATTTCATATTCTTAGGAAAAGTTCAGTAGCGGCGTTAGGGTAGGGCACGGTTGGGCGACCGCCCAGGGCGCCGGCTATAAAGGGGCGCCACAGGCACTCTTATTTCCTCTCGCTCATTGAGCGGGGCCTACTTACTCGTAAATTCCCTAAGTTTAGAGAAAAAATCGTTATGTTGGCAACACTAAAATGGAACTTTAGCTATTGAAACTCAGAAAACTGATGTTCAAGTCTCTCATGAGGCTACTACTCTAGCCGAACAGCTAAAAGATTTCATCTTCATAGTGTCGTTGATCGTTTGGTATGACATACTTTTTCAAATTAATATTGTTAGTAAATCTCTGCAATCAACAGACACAGATCTCGGTAAATGCACAGAACTGTTGAAAAAATGCTGCACTTTCTTGGAAGAATATAGAAATATATTGGTGGCTATAATGTACTTCCTGTGTAACCTAGAGTAAAGTTTACTTAATTTCCTGGAGACGCCAACTTGGTTGATGAAACTCGCATCGAGAAAAGTGTTGCAGTTCTGGTGTTTGCGAAAAGCGCATGGATTTATTCTGCGTCACAGGTTCCAGTTCCACACGTCTTATCAAGGTTGTAGAGTTTGGTTAGGAAATGAATCGTTAAGAAATGAACACATCATGTCATTTTCGAACAGTCCTTTTCCAACACACAGTTATTCCAAATCGGTGTTCATGGTAACGCCTTATACATATTTTTATTTTCAGTTTTTTCATTGAAGCAAGTAACCACAATATTAGTATTGTTTATTGGTTTACTACTAGGCCATTTCTTCTTAAGTTCTTATCATTTTTATGCTGAATTATTGTCGTTGATCTATCAGTTCTATCAGTTTTCTTTGGAAGTTTTCATCTCAACTTGTTTTTGCATAGAATGAACACTATGCTTATGTACTTTTTTGTCAAGATTTTTAACAGCAATAATCAAGAGGCCATCATATGAGTTATTGAAGTTATTAATTTGATTATTTTCCGGTAAGGATAATGTTAGGAACAGATTTTTCAGTAAGGGTAATAATTTCCTCTTGGTCATGTAGTCTTTCAGTCATTTCTTGGGAACAGATTTTCGATAATTTCACTTGCAAGTATTCACTTGCAGTTATTCAACAGAGATTGAAGAATTAATTTTATTCTCAGAGACACTCTCGGGCATAACATTGAGAATGAGATCAATTATTTCATTTTTCCCAAGTTTGTCGCGATTTACAACCTTCTCGCACGAAACCATACTAAACACTACATAACACTTTTTACCTTTGATATTAGTGAATTGAATGTTTTATCGATCCCATACGCCTTAACTTAGTTAGGTTTTTCTATCAAGAAAACAGTTGAGTCAGCAATAATAATAATCTTTATTCAGCAACAGGCATATACAAATCAGTAAAAATATATATAAAATCAGTAGAAATATATACATCAGAAATGATATTTGTGCATGTTGAAAATGCGAAGTTCATCGTGAGCATAGATATGCTCACAGGTTTTCTTCCACTCAAACTATAGGTAGTTCTAACTAATAAATTGAACAATCAAGTTCTTTGTGAGAAATGTTTGAGAAAAAACAGAAAGGCAATACATATTCATATAATTCATTACAATAAGAGACGAAAATCGATTATAATAAAGACAGGGGTTTCAACCAATGGAGAATTTGAAAGCCTCTCAAATAGTTTTCAGAAGGTACAAATTTTTGATTTTTTTTCCCCTGAAACTCTCGGGAATATCGAGAAAACTTGAATTTTATGATATTACATAAACATTAACGATCAAAAATTGCTATAAAAAATACAGACCTGCATTTAAGATTCCAAAGTAGAGGATGTCCAAAATCAGATGACATCAAGTCGATTNGTGCCTACTGTCAAGAAAGACAATGACGTTTTGTACAACTTTTTATTCATATCACCAGGAATCAAGTTGCTAACATTCACCTGAAAGTATATGAAAATCAGTGTACCCAGCTATGTTAATGTAATATTTACTGGAATTTGTTTCGCGGTACTAAGATGAAAAGTGAATTTTAAGCAAAACATAAAGACAAATACAGATTAGTTATACATATGGAAGTGTTTTGTATAAATTCCTCGATTAATCAAAATATACTCGACTACAAATCAGAACAAAATGATAAATTTGATTCTGCAAAAAAGGAATTTTATGAGGTTTTTCTTGAAATTACGAGAAACAATGTGGGAATTTTTAAAATAGCTTCTCTATTCTGAAAGAGAAACATCAATGAAAGCTTCGGAAAAGGATTAGGACACTATAAAATTGTAGTAGGTGGTAATATACCAGCCTATCAGACAAGAGAGAATAATATTTTTTTAAAAATTTTTTTGGTGTATAAAAAAACCATTACCGATTCTGAAAGGGCAAATTTTTAACTTTTGAGCAGTGATGTTTCAAAGATCACAGAAAAATTATAATTGTCACTCATCTTCCTAGAGTTCTATAATCCTACTGACAAGAGAGTTATGTCACTCCAGCTTGGTTGGTGTAACACAAGTCGAGAGTATTACATTTCTGGTGACTGGGAAAAGTGCTTGTTCTGGATCTGTTACCAATATGTTCATTTGTTAACCAGCAGTCGCCCCCTACGAACGACAACCCTAAGAAGTCAAAACTTTTGCGAACTATGGATTAACGGGTCTTACGGGTAGCACAAAAATAATCAGAGAAAATTAATAAAAATCGATAATTTGTATCTTTGGAAGGTTTGAAAATATTTTAAAACCTTACTGATACGACTAGAAAACAATCTGGTTTAATCTGAATCATGTAGTTCTTGAAAAATAAAACAGTGAAGTATCACTCTATTATATGAACGAGGATGTAGAAATATTCTGTAGATAATTACTATCCAAACTGTTAATCTAAATTTGAAATGATGAACATTTGTACTTGAATCTAACGAAGTTTCCTTTTTTCTTTACTACTTACCACTCCTTCACTCAAACGAAATTGTTGGAAAAAAGCTTGATCAGAAAAGCAGATATCCAGAAATTGTCGATGGACAACTAAGCCAACATGTGGGGTTCCTTTCACAAAAACATTATTTTTTAGTATTGGCATAGATATATCAACTCCAATCTCTTGTTTAACAAATGTATAAGCACCATTTGAAAATTCTTCTCCATCATCAACTTTCAACATTCTTATTATGGGATTTAATAAAGTTTGAGATACTACATGTGAGGATAATGTTGGAAAACCAGCTGGGTGATTTTCAGCTGTTGCCTGAAAAAAAAATATATTGAATGAACCGATTAAAAGAAAGACAGAAAACCCAACTCTGTTATTGTAAATCCCCCAATACGTACCCGACAGTTTTGTACTCTTTTTTCCAATACTATCCTGAAAATATGTCTTGTAGGATGATTATCCAACACACCTTGACCTAAACCTCGATTATCATCTTGATTAAGTCTGCGATCCAACATAATCTCTAGCTGGCCAGGCGCCAGAGAACTACAACCAAGTGGAGTACTTGTTGTTACAGTGAGTCGTGAGTATTCATCTTCGATATATGCCATAGTCGGCATTGGGTAATAGTTTGCTTGTAGAGGGAGCTTCTTGAATCGTTTTCTTCTTACAATCTGAAAATTATTATTATTTTTTTATCATATATCAAATGTCTTAGAAGAAATATAAAT